CGGTCCGCTCGCCCAGCGAGCCGCGGAGTGCCCCCCAACTTTGGGGAGGGGAAGGGGCGCCTGGGGAGGGGGCGGAGCCCAGGCCTGGAGAGCCGGGGACTTTCCTCGGCCCGGGGCTCCTGTGGGGGCCTCAATGATCCCCAGGGAGCCGGTTGAAGCCGGAGACCCGGGGCTCATGCTGGAGGCTGGGGAAAAGCCAGTGGAAGGACCGAGCGTGGAGGTACTGGAAGCCGAGGGTGTTTCGGGGTGCACGCTCATTTCAGAAGTGTGGGGAGAGATGAGGACAAGTATGCGTTCAGGGTGCCGACTGAAGTCGGGGGAACCGGCTGCGGACTATAGAGGGTTGTTGTGTGTGTAGCCCGAGGATGGGGCTGGTGGCAGGAGACCCGGATACTGAGGGCTGAGGGGCCGGCCCCGGAACCCCCCCACTCGTGTTTGCCCATCATGTTTACCCGTGGGCTCTGCGTTAGTGAGTTTTAAAGGGCTGCCGGAGGATCGGTGTGCAAGATTCTTTGTTTTTGTGTGTGTGCATGCTTTGACGCGCTACGTGTTCCTGCAGGTGGGCCACGGGTCTGGATGTGTAGGTGTGTTTCTGTGCTTGAGTGTGTGTGCACCCGGGGAGCGGCTGACCATGCATCTGCTGGTTGATTGGACATGTATTTGTGTGTATGCGCAGGGGAAGGGGTGTGTGTCTGTGTGTGTGCTGGAAGAGGGGCTTGTGGGAAAGAGGTGGATGACTGTTAAGAAAGGTGGGTGTGTAAGAGCAGAATGGGGTATATGAGAATAGGTGTGTGTGCACCTGTGTATTGGTAAAGAGTGTGAGAATATCTGTGTTCTCTTGTATATGATCTGTGTTGAAGAGTATCAACATGTGCGCTAGGGTGTGTATTTCAGTGTGTGTGCTGGGGGTACCTCTGTCTCTACAGGCAGATTTTCCTGGCAGGAAGCCCACGGGGAAGGCTGTCTGCAGGATTCTGAGGGTTTTGGTTTTGGATGGCCCTGCCTGGGCTCACTGGGTAGTGCCCGAAGTATGGAGACAGATCGGTGGGAGGGGTGTCTTGGGAGGTTTCTGCTTTGGAAGATGGGTTCTTCGGTTCTGTTTGTAGTCCTGGAGGAATTTGGGGAACTAGAGGAGCTAGGAATGAGAATTAGAAGAGCTCCTTTGGCTTCCAGTGCTGGGAGAGGCCATGCACTTGGCTTCCCTGTCTCAGGGCAGCCCCCTCAGGCCGCAGTTCTCTTGGACAGCTGTGTTGGAGCTGGCTGCTGCAGAGTCCTCCAGCTCTGCCCTGCCTCTAGGATCCCCAGATTCCTGAGGAGCCTGGAATTTGGTGTAGAATGGGAGTGAGAGGCAGCAGCATCACTGGAGGATGAGACTCAGTAGGAAGAGCTGGGGTCCCCTGTGCGTGGGGTTGAGTGTTTCTTCAGGGGTGTTGTGTTTCTGTGTGGTTTACTGTGTAATTTCTTTTGTCCCTGGTGAGAAGCTTGATTAGGATGGAGATGTGTGAGCTTTTGAGAGGGCAGATGTTGGTGTGTTGTAAGGGGTCTGTATTCATCAGTGAGAAAGTGCAGTGAGGAATCAGTGTGGATGTCTTTCTCTATAGTAGTAGCTGCTACCTTTAGCTTTCTTCTCTCTTGTTATTTCTCTTTTGGGGTGTAGGGAAGGAGGGACTGGCATCTCCTTTAGGACCCACTCTGTTGCATGCTCTCGGCCGTTTCTGTTGTGCTGTGAGAGGTTAGGTTGAGACATGGAGTTGAGGCTGTGATTGCACACGCCCATTAGGGTCTCTGGGCAATGGAATTGGAATGTTAGCATCTCCAATGGGCATGTGCAATCACAATGTTCCCTCTGTACTCCTTGAGGCTCCCTACCCTTTCTAAGATCCAGGAATAAGAGTAGTGAGGGATACACAGTATTTGGACTAGGAATAGTTGTAGAGTAGGAAAAGACAATATTTTCTTCCTTAAAAATTCATGATTCCCTCAAACGGGACATCTTTCGGATGGTTAGCATTTTCAGGGCTAACAAGGCACTTGTGGCCAAGAGGATGGATGTGGTCCAGACTTCTAAGGTATCTTGTTGGCCCACGTGTGCATCATACTCGTGGGGGCACTTTTCCAAGGCGAGGAACTGTGGTCAGACAATAGGAAGTGCCATTTCAGAAAGTACTTCCAGCCTGGGACCCACTGGCCACGTCGGCCCCTCCTCCCCCATTGTCCTGCTCCTGCCTTCTGTTTCCTCTAATTCTTCAGGGCAGGCCTCTCTGCTGTGTCTCCTTCTGCTTCTTGAAACTCTCCTAGGTCAAAGGAAGAATTCTCCTTTCCCTCGCCCTACAGCAAGACAGATTTTATCTGCTCCTCTGGAGGAAGAGGTCTAGGACTCCCCTTCTCTGCTCTGAGTTTTAGGTTCTCCAGTCTTCTTTGTTTGTTCTTTCTTTAACAGCTTCCTGTGGTGTGAGGCCAAAGAGAGGAATCAGATTTGATTGGAATTAATACTTAATAGCAGTGTGACCTTGGGCAAGTTATTAAACCCTATTCCTGAGCCTCACTGGGTGTCTAAGGCACTATCCTCCAAACCTGGACTGAGTCTATCTGTAAGGAATCCCAGTTCCCCCCATGGACACCTTCCTTGCTTTCAGCTTGCTTTTAAATTCTGGCTTTGCCGCATCCTAATTCTATGACCTCAGACAAAATAGGTAACTTTTTGAAGCTTCACCTGTTAAATGGGGTAATAACAGGCTCCACCTCTTAGGATCATGATGAGGACACAATGAAATAATCTGGACAGGGCACGCTGCGTAGCGCCTGGCTCATAGGAAGTGCTGGTAAAGTGGCTTGGTTTCTACCTGATGGCCGTGGTAAGGGAGAGAAGTCTGGGTAGCCGGGCTTGAGAGCTGGGCTTCAGTTCTGTTCTCCACTACAGACCTCGTTGGGTACTGCCTCTGGGTACCAGGCGATGTGAGGGGCGCAGGGGATGGAGGGGTGAATAAGTAAGGTTTCCACAGGATGAACATGCTGATGCCCATGGCTCTGTGAATGCTGTTTGGAGGTGTTCCAGAGCCCCCTGGAGCATAGAGGAGGTGTCCTTGACCCTAGGGTGGGGTGTTAGGGAAAGTTCCTCGAGGAGATGTGCCCTTAGCTGGATTGTTAAAACAAAAAACAAAAAAACTTAATGTGAAATTTACATAGCAAAATTAACCACTTGAAAGTGGCATTCGGTGGCATTTAGTTCATTCGCAATGTTTTACAGCCATCATCTCTGTCTAGTTCCAAAACATTTTTACCATCCCCAAAGGAATCCTGTACCCACTTGAGCTTTTGCTCCCAGTTTCCTGTCTCAGTTCCTGGCAACTGCCAATCCACATTCTGACCACGTGGTATTACCTATTCTGGATATTTCACATATGTGGAGTCATGTGTTGTGTGCCCTTTTGTGTTTGGCTTCCTTCACTTAGTGTAAAGTTTTCAGGGTCCATCCACATTGTAGCATGTATCAGTACACCACTCTTTTTAATGGCTGAGTAATATTCCTTGCATGGCTATATCTTAGCTGAATCTCAAAGGACAAGCCAATAGGGCGGAAGAGACTGAAGAGGGCCCTGCTTGTAGAGGCTGAACATAAGCAAGAAGGAACATGGGGTGTTTGGTGCTGCTGGATTTTTTTTTTTGTACCCAGGATTGAATTTGGGACCTTGCACTTGCAAGGCAGGTGGTGGCACCACTGAGCTAAATCCCCAGCCCCTCGTGCTGCTGGATTTTGAAGTGTGATTTCGTTTGGCCTCAGTTTTCGTAGTTATAAAACACAGTTAATGATCCCTCTCCGTCCTTCCTTTTCCTGACGGGTTGGTAGAGGTGGAAGTGTTAGGGGAGAGGAGAGGCTGGGATGTTGTTCCTCCACTTAGGGTCTTTTTTAACTTGTTCTTTCCTCTTTCCTGGCAGCTCCCTCCTATGCGCCCTTACCCTTCTCCCTGTGTGAGCTCACCTTCCTGCTTTCTTGGTGTCAGCGTGCCCTCTCTGAGTTGGTCTGAAATTTCTCCTCTTCCCCTCTCCAGGTGGGTAATGATGTGCATGATGAGATTTTGGCAGCGGAGGCGAAGGAAGGGGCTGGGAGTAAATCTACTCACACTGTCCCTGTCTCTTTGCCCTTCTTCACCCCGTCTCTTGGTGTTCGGCCTTGGGCAACCCTCTTGTCACCACCTCTGCTGTGACCTGGACACAGGGCCACAGAGAATCTTTGCAGCTGCCTCTTCCACCCTGCTTGGTACAGAGGAGGAGGCAGAGGCGGGGGTGGGGGGCAGTAGGAAATGAAGTGTTCCCCTGCTTGCGTGGTGCCCCTGGCAAGGCTGGTAATTACAGACAAGACAGCTGGGAATGGGCTGGGAGGAACAGGCCTGAAATCAGCAGAGCTGAGGCTAGAGGCTATCCTGGTGATCAGGGTGGGGCGGTGAGAAGGGAGAGCGGGAAGAGGCTGGGGGCTGGGGTGGGGCGGGCGGCCTGGTGCTCCCCACCCCTGTGCCATCTAGAGGAGAGCAGCAGGGGACTAGAGCCCAGGCCCAGCTGTACCACGAGGAAGGAGCCAGGCTGGAGGACCTAGCAGCCCCCACAGAAAGGATCAGAATGAGAGAAGAGGGATTTGTCCGCTCTCTTGGCACCAGGATTAGGTCTAAATTAGGGAGGAGCCAACTATATCCACAGTGGATTCCATCTTTTTCTGGGTGGGGCCTTACTTCCCACTATGAGGCCGTGGGAGCGGTAAGTGGAAAGGATTGGCTGTGCAACCCCTAAAGACGAAAGAGGTAAGAGCAGACATTTAGTTGAACATCTAGTATTTGGCAGACTCTGATATTTTTGCATACACGATTACATCGAAAACTCTTATCCCATTTTATAGAGGTTTAGGGAAAGTGAGCCCCTCATCCAAGATTATATATCTCATCAAAGGCTCTGCCAGGTGATCTGGGTTTTTAGCTCTTCCTAAAGTGTTCTCTTTACCTTTCCTTGCTCTCATTCTGATTAGATCTGATTGTTCACTATTACCTTTAATCTTGAACTTGAATAATTGCCCTGCCTCTTGAAAAGCAGTCATGAGTCCAGATGTCACCCCCAGGAGGAGAGAAGTCTGCCTCTGAGGGCCTCATGAAAGAGTCCAGATTGCCCCTTGGGCAGAAGCCTCTCCTGGGGCTGTAGTCTAGGGGTCTTGTGCCGAGGGGGGCCTGGCACTCACTGGCTGTTTGGTTTTCCTGCAGCTGCCCTGACAATGCCCTTCAGACCCTCCCACTTACCAGTGTGTGGCCAGAAGACCAAGGGTGTTTGCCTGTGGGTCTGGGGAGGAGACTCTGACTTTTTAGGGTGGGTGGGTTTGCGCAGGAACAGGTGCTGAACCCGAGGTGTGAATGCAGTAACTTAAAAAACAACCAAGTGTGAACGAAACACATAATTTTGTCACCTGCTTTACTCCAGGAATGGAACTGGCGTATAGGAGGGATGAGGGAGTTGAGAATCCTCAGAAACAGCGTGAACCTCCTGGGTGGGAGGGGGAGGTTGTCAGAAGGCCGAGGTTGATTGGTCCTTGGGCCTTTCAGTGGCTCAGTTTTCCTAGATAAGAAAGGCTCATTGGTCAGATCGGAGGCCCTGGCTGAGGTGGGAGGAGAAAGTTTTATGGGGAAACCCAGGCCTGCCACCCTCACCCACTTCGTCTCACACCCTGAGGCTCACTCTGCTGCTGTCCCCGTACCATCCAGCCTTGGTGACAGTGTCCCATATGTTGCTCTCCCACGCTCCTTCCTCGAGCCTACTCTTCCCATCTACACGCCAGCACAAGGGTGGCCAACTTCTGCTTCCTAAGTAGCCGCTTCCCACCTCTCTGTGCCTCGAGGCAGGGTGAACAGGGACAGTTGGGCCAGCAGCCTATGAAGAGAAGAGAGGGAGGCATTTTGTTGGAAACGTACCAGAAGTTGGCCGCTGGGCCAACACAGCTCACCCACCTCCTGTTGACCGCTTTCTCTCTGTCCTGGGGATACCTGGAGGCACCTGTTTTCCTTCTTGGTTCTTCCACAACTCACCTGGTGGGTAGGGAGGGGCTGGTCCTTTGCCTCAGCCAGGGAGGAAGCAGTTCAAAGCCCCGTGGGTCGGGATTGTTGGTGAAAATTAAATACAGCCAGCACTCAGGCACCTAGAAACCCGTCACCCTCCCTCCAGCTCAGTGTCCTGTCTCCCCTCTGGCCTCACCTGGGACAGATGCCAAAGGGATTACTCACCCGTTCTCTTGCTGTCCCTGACTCCACCTGCGGTTCCCTTTGAGATTGACAAGGAATGGGGCTGAGGGGAGTGGGATGCTAAGGGGCACATGTATGTGTGTGCGCATGCGTGCAAGTGCATGCGGCGGTGTGCTGTGGCTGGGGCAGGGACTTCTGAGAGCTGGGGTGGGGGTAGGGGTGCCAGACAGACAGCAGAGCAGGTCTCTACAGAACCTGCCTAGCCAGGGCGGGTGGAGCTGGGTGGGGCACGCAGGAGCCATTCCAGTTCCAGAGGGGGAACATCAGTGGAGTTGTGCCTACTTGTGCGTGCGTGTGTGTGTGTGTGCACGCGCGCGTGCATGTGCGTGTGTTTGTGTTTCAGTGTGTTTGTGGACTTGGAGGCTAGTCAGCCTCACCCTTTGCCTTAGACTGAGGGAGATGGAGAGACTCGGTAGAGCTCCTTACCTGATCGTGGAGCTCAGGTACCCAGGCATAGAGCTCCAGGTACCTTCCCCTGCTGCCCCACTGGGGTCCAGTGTCAAGAAGCTGCTCTGGAAGGCCAGATGGCTGGGTGACCCAGCACACCCCGCCCACTGCTACTCACCCATGAGGAGAAGGATCCTGCCCCCGCCCTGGGGCTGTGAAGATGGTGAGCTCATGTCTGGGCTGCCCTGGGAGAAAGCCTGCTTACCACCGGGGGTGGGGGCCCCGGTGCCAGCTCTAGGCTCCCAGGTGCTGTGTTTTCTAACCCTTGGCCCACTGAGCTCGAGCTGTTCTCTCTGGCCTCATGGCCAGCACTGTCACCAGGAATAAGGGTTCAGGGCTTGGGAATCAAAGCCCACTCTCTACCTTTGTTCTTTTTGTGGTAGGAAAACTCACCTGGCATGGGTTTCTTGGGATGGGTGGCTTCTCCACGAGAGAGGCTGAGGGAAATAAGGGATGAACATCACTTATTCTTAGTAGGAAGTGGTTGGGTGCAGCCCTTTGGTCAGGGTGTGTAGCTCAGGCCTGGCACATGTCTGATCCCTGTCACGGGTGAGACATAGGGCCATAGGGCAGGGGTCGGGAAATCCTCCCTTTCATTGTGTTCTTGTAGCGTTGGTTATTTAAAGAACTAGAGTTCAGAAGGAGACTCATGGAGGAAACCGGTCCTACTCCAAAAGAAGCGCACCTCAGAGTCATGGTATAGTGAGGTTTTTCCCACCGCAGCAGAAGGCCGCACGAGGTAGTGACTGTGCACTAGCTATTGGCCTTCCTTGGGCCCCACCTTTTTATCTGTAAAACCTCGAGTTGTACCTTAGAGGCACGAGAGCAGTGAGTGGGTCAATCCACTGACTCCTGAGGGGAATGATGTGGCATAGGTCTTCCTCTCTTCTACGGAAGGAAGCCATGTTAGGTGTCTGCATTTCTTTCTGATATCAAAAACCTCGAGTCCCCTCCCTCTGTGGCTGACAGGGATGCCTAGTTGGAGCTCAGTTATGAAGCTCAGGGAGTAGTATAGCACAGAAGGAGAACAAGCAGGGCCTGGAGTGACCTTCGTGCTTGTGAATCGCTGCTCTACCCTGTGCCTCATGGCTTGATGGGCAGACGTTTAGCTCTTTGGATACTGAACTGGGAGGTTGGATATCAGGCTTGTTTCCTGCCCCCATCTTTTCCCTCAAGGTAGGCACCCAGCACTTTGGAATATATGTTAACATGCTTGGATCAGGGTGGTGATTGGTGAACATTAGGGAACCACAGGTCTGTGTACACAGCTACCCATGAGCTCGAGTGGAGCAGCGGGTATGGACATGTGCATAAGACCTAGGCTCTCGGTTAGGAGTCAGAGGGCTCAAACGGGCGAGGGCCCAAAGACTCTTCTTGAGGAAGGATCTGAGGAGCTGATCGAGCCCATTCCCCTGTGTCCCTGACCAAGGACAGAAAAGGGACCTGCCAGAGATCTGCCCCGTCAGAGGAGAACTTTTGGCTTCTTGTCCTCTTTCCCATCATTTTTACCTCTCTAGCTTAGGTCTTTTCTAACATCAGACCTATGTGCTGCTACACTGCTGGCCTGGTACTTCCGGCCCTGTACTTGAAAGAGGTGAGGAACAATGGCACCTTTTTAAGGTACACTTTTGAGTTCTGTCCCTTTGTTGCCTTGCTTTCTCTTGCGGAGTCACCCTGGCTCTCACAGTGCCTGCTCCTGACCCATCCTTGTGCTCTGCCTCATTTCCCCACCCTGTGCCTAAAGTAGCTGGGGCTGGGCCTGCTGGGTGCACCAGGAGTGGAGGTGGGCAAAGAGGTGGTGAGCACAGCCCCTGGGCCTGGTCATCTGTCCCCAGCACACGCTGCACATGGGTTACTTGTGTGTGTCCAGCGCCTTGTGCCCTTGAGCTGCTCCTGTGAGTAGAGGAATGGGGAAGGGTCAGTCTTGTCTTGGTCTGTGTTTTGGCAACCCCAACCCAACACACACATACATACCCCAGGGCCTTGCTCCCTCTGTGCTTGCCAGGTTTTGAATGTATTTTTTTCTAGAGGCCTCCAATTGTTTCCTGAAGAAACCTGATCTGGAGTACAGACAAAAGCTGGGGCTGCCAGAAGAGAAACCCCATTCTCTCTTCCCCTCTGTCCTTATCCCCCACCTCCATAACCTCCCTCGCTTTGGATTCTGGGTATGGGTTCCAGGGCCCGGCTGCTATCACCTAGGCAACCGGGGGCTTTGGTTACCATGGTGATCAATGTGGGAGAAGCTGGGCATGGGGACAAAAGCCCCCACATTCCCCCCTTGCCCTCCCCCCAGTCCCCTTGGGATGATACTGAGACACATTCCATTAATT